TGCCCTCCTCCAGGCTGAGCTGCCAGGAAAAAACCCACCTGCATGAGTCACCCCAGGGCACAGATGACTTCCTGGACTCCCAGCAGGGGGCCAGGCCTCTGACCAGCAGCCATGTCCCCTGGGAGGCTTGTCTGGGTGGACTCTCCCCTGGGGGGTACTGGCATGGAGGTGGGAGAGGCAGGAGGGGAGGGCAGGGCTCGGAGGGGTCCTGGGGGGCGGGCTGGGAGGTGGGGACTTCCTGGCAGAGTCCAGGGCAGGGGGGGGGCAGGGCTGGGAGCTGGGGAGGTGCTGGCGGCTCCGCACAGGAAGGCAAGGATGGCTGCACCGGAGCCCGGGTACGGATGGCGACCAAAGTGGGACCTTCCAGGGCAAGGTGCCCCACTCCACTCACCGAGGAATACCTGGGGAGCTGGGTTTGCACAGTGTGGGGTGCAGCTGGTGCGGGGTTGTGGGCTTCATGAGAGGCCCCTCTGGTCCCCAGGACAGCCGCTGTCTCTGGTTCTTCTGGGGACGCTGGTCTTGGTTCTCCCATCTCCCCGGGAGGTGGCGGCATTCGGGGCCGAGCCAGCCACTCTGCAGAGCACCTGCGTCACCCCTCCCGATGCCAGGGCACGGGCACTGCGGGCGGGCAGCAGCAGCACGGGTGAACGCGAACCCGGGATCCGGCCGCAGAGCACAGACTCCGCCCCTCGACTCGGCATCTCCGGGGAGAACCCGGCGGTGGCGCTCGGCGGCCATGGCACACGGCTCGCTTCCAACTTCACAAAACTGTGCCACCCCGAGGCAGAGCCTGCACATCGCCTACACCAGCATCCCGTCCAGCGTCCCCTGGACCTGGATGTCAGTGGGGTTCTGCCAGTACTGTCCCTACAGGAGACCCCATTTCCAGCAAGATGTTCGGAGGAAGTGAAAGGAGGGCTCTCCCCAAAGGCTGCCTAACAGGAGGGCAGAACCCTCTCATCCAATGTTCCTGCCCCCCCCAGCCTGCACCCCTGGTTAAAGCCCCGATTGCTCCTGTGGTCAAGGTGAGCGAGTCTCCACACCGAGGGACCGAGTACTCGGGGACCACTCCGACGCTTCCCGCGACGTCCGCTGTAGCCAAACGCTCATCACACTGCACCTTACCGAGCTGTTTCCAAGGAGCGGCTCAGGATATTTTCCTGCAGACCGGGTAGCTGGAGTGGGGCTGGGAGGGTGGGGCCAGCAGCAGGAAAGCAAGGAGGGGGGTCAAGGGTGGAATAACAGCCCACTTTAGATCCCTGAGCCATTTCCCGGTCTCCCCAGAAGCAATGAGATCAGCGGCAGGCAGTGCCGCTTGTCAGCATCTCCTCCCAGTTTCTCTTTCTCTTTTCATCCTCACCCGAGGTATGTTTATTGAGAGAGAGAGAGAGAGAGAGAGAGAGAGAGAGAGAGAGAGAGATTGGTTGCCTTACTGTACACACCCCGACCAGAGATTGAACCCAAAACCTAGATATGTGCCCTGACCGAAAATCGAACCCAAGACCCTTTCGTGCTTGGGATGATGCTTTAACTACTAAGCCACACCAGCCAGGGCATGAAACACTGTTTTAAACAGGACTAATTCCAACTACATATAATCATAATAGAAAACAAATAACATTGGCCTAAGAGCCTAGAGGTGGGCAGCCCAAGGACCCAGACTCCTTTGGTCTTGCTGTCATCCACAGTCATTACCTTGTGATCCAAAACGACTGCTCAACTCCAGCCCTCGCACCTACATCCCAGGCAGCTGGACGGAGGAAGGGAGACGAACCTAAGTGAGGGCCTACCCATGTGACCCCTCCACCTGGAATGTGCTGGGCCCCATCCTGTTCACCCGCCAGGCTCCCTGAATCAACAGGCCTCACGATAACAAGGCAGTTATTTGTACAAAATAGTTTGTGTCTTGGTCTCCCGGAGGGCAGGGACGTCTGCTGTGGACCTCCCTGCTGCAGCCAGGGTGGTGGGGAGGCAGCGTCCCCCCGGGGGCACGGCCGAGCCCCAGAGCGGGCACAGCCGGGTTTCTCTGCGCCCGGCTCTCTGCTCGTCGGACCGGAGGGCTGTCTGTGGTGAACAGGACTTCTGAGGGGAGGTGGCCAGCGGGCGATGCAGGTGCGATCGTGCTTTCTGCCGGTTCCCATTACTCTACTGGTGACCCATTTGTCTGCCACACACTGGGCCGTCTTCGAGACGACAAGCTGACAGTGACCCCCGTCGGGTCACTGCCGGGCACAGAGCCCATGAGAACACGGCCGTGGGGACGTGGCCGCCCGTCCTCCTGAGCGTGCTGCCCGGACGTCACAGGGGCCCACTCCGCCTCTGCCCACGCCCACCGGCTCGTCCATCTCCCGTCACAGCCGGACAGGGGACAAGCGGCCCTGCTGTCCGCCCAGCGGGTCGTGGTGGCAGACTCTGAACTGGGAAGAAGGGCTTGGTCTGCGCACAGGCTCACCACGCAGAGCTTTGCTGAGTGGGCTCATAACACCAGGGAACACTGCTTATGACTTTCCCACGAGACACGTGGGGCGTGGCCAGAGGGCAGGTGTCTGGTTACTGCATACCTTCCTGTTCCCGAGTCCGAGTGCCACGTCCCCTCGGGTCCACGCCAGGGCCCTCTTGCCACCCCCCAGCCCGCTCTCAGGAGGGTTCTGCTTCCGGAAGGTCTGGGGCTATTCGGACACAAGTTTGAGGACCCCACCTAAGTGCAGGGCGGACGTGCACCCCGCTGGTCCGCAGGGGCCGCCCCCTCCCACTGTGAGACCTCAATGCCGATTCTGTCCTGGACCCAAGTTTTCAGTGGAGAATTTCTGCTTCTTCAGACTGAGAGGCTCCTTGACGAAGCAGGTTGAAAGCAGAGAGCTCCTCAAGCTCTCATTGAGGGCAAGAGGCACCTCTCTAACCCGGGACACAGGCCCAGGGGAAACCGGCCAAGCTGGGCCTGCACGGGACACGTTCCTTCTCAAAGGAAGAGCGAGTTCCCGAATGCTGGCAACTCCCCCCTGCAGCCGGCAGTTCTCAAAAGGTGGTGGCATTTCTCAGGTAGCCGGGGGTCCCTGTGGTTGGCCTCTGCCCACCCTCAATGTCGTCTACATACGAGGGCACAGGGCATGACGCGGCATGACCATCGCTCCCGTGATGAGGGACAGGAAACTGCTTCTCTCTGCCCCCAGCTCCCGCTGCCCCCCCCCCCCGGGGGAAAGGTGTCCTGGGAATTACCGTGGCTCCTGGGCAGGCTCCTGCCCCTCCTGTCTTCCTGCCTAGGCTGCCAGAAGTGGGGGTGCCCTCGAGAACAACCGCAGCCACAGCCGCAGCCGGGAGTCTTCCTGAGACCCCTCGCCAAGCCACGCCTCCCTGCCAGCACCCCTCCCCGATGACACCAGTCAAGCTAATGTTCAGCTGGGTGGGTGGGGAGAGGGCTGCAGCCCCCCGGGAACTAACTTGGGGCTGGTTGGCACCTACAGGCAGGGGCTGCCTCTGTGCCACTCCTGGGGACGTCAATGGCCAGGGAGGAGGGGTTGAGGCAAGTTTTTGCTTGAGGGCCTCACCCCTCTTTAGAAGCCTGGAGGTGCCCCGGCTCCGTGTGCCCTGAGGTCTGAGCAGGGAAGGGACCCGCTGGGCCCGGCTCCAGCGCAGGAAGTATTCCTGGGGCAAGCAAGGAGGGCCGGTTCCCGCCTGATTCCTTTGCCGCCTGCCACTGCCTGTTTCTGCTGCCCTGCTCGCTGCCCCCTCGGCCCCCTCCGGGAGCTGAGCTGGTCTCTGCTCTGGTCCCCCAGGTCCCTGAGGGCTTGACCACTACATGATCTTGCTCAAGACTGCTCTGTGCCCTGAGCCCGGGAGACAGCAGGAGAACGTGGGCAGGGACCCACTCTAAGCCAGCAGTGCCCATGGGGTGTAGGGCACCCACAACTTAGGGAGGGACTGGTCTCCCAGGCCCACCGCCCAGCATCTCTGGCTGATTTGCCCCCTTTTAGCAAAACAGGACTGGGCACCTGAAGGCCACTGGGAACCCAGAGGTGGACAAGCTAGGTGCCAGGAAGCGGACAGGGTGCCCAGGGCTGTCCTGCAGGGCCCTTCCAGCGTCTGGGCCATGGAGCTGGTGGCATCCTGGCAGGGAGTGCGGGGCTGGGACCGGGCCCTGGTCATGCGGTTGGGGCTTTCTGCCCCGCAATGACCCAGGGTGTTGAGGGCTCTCCATGCCTGTTTGGGGGGCTCTCTGCATGGGCTGGTAGAGGCTCTCCATTCAGAGTGATGGGGTCTGCCCCGCGGGGCTTGGAGGGGTCTCTCCGCTGTCCCCGCGACCCCTCCCCCAATACAGACCACTACATGGCCCTCCCCTGAAGCTTGGAGCCCCCTAAAGAGCAGAGTGTTGCGGTCGCTCCCGCCGCCCCCCCCCCCCGCCCCCGCATTCCGAAGGGGAGGCGGGAACTGAGCCCCGTGACTTGGCCACGAAGCATAAATAGCGGCGGCAGCTCCGGGCGCTGACACGTGGAAGGAGCCCGACCCCCGCGCTTCCTGCCTCCGTGCCCCGCGGCCGTGCCATGCGGTGAGCGTCCCCGGCCCGACCCGGCCCGACCCGACCCGACCGGACCCGCCGACACCCGCCGACACCCGCCGGACACTGACACCTCGGGACCCGCCGCCGCTCAAGGTACCCGCTCGGGGCCCAGCGGGGGTGCCCCTTCTCCGCGTTCCCGCGCCCAGCAGCCGCCTGCGCTGGACGCTCTGCCCCGCCCCCCGCCCCTCGCCCCCCGCCCCCCGCCCCTCGCCCCTCGCCCCCCGTCCCTCCCCTCGCCCCTCGCCCCCCGTCCCTCCCCTCGCCCCTCGCCCCTCGCCCCTCGCCCCTCGCCCCTCGCCCCTCGCCCCTCACCCCTCGCCCCCCGTCCGGGCACTGGCCGCTGGGGCACAAACCGCTGGTCCTCCGCACCCTCCGTCCCGCCGGGGCTGGGGTCGGGCCGAGCTCCCCGACGTGCGCTGAGGCCGCCCCCGCCCTCCCCTCGCAGATGCCCCGAGGCGGCGCCCCGCTGCTCTCCTGCCTGCTCCTCGCCTCCGCCCTAGCGGCCGCCCTCGGGTCCCCGGTAAGTGCAGGGCGGGACGGCCCTCCCGGGAAGGGGCGATGGGGAACCGGACTGGGGGGGGCCGGGGCGGGGCGGGCTCCAGCTGCGCCACCAGCCCCTCTGGGAACCGCGGCGCCCCCGCTCAGAGGGGCCGCCCCGTGGAGCCCGCGCCGCAGCGGTGCGCGGGGAGCCGCCCGTGGCCCCGAGAAGGGCTCGTGAGGCGAGTGGGCGGACCGGCCGCACAGCGCAGCGGGTTGGGGCAGCCCCGGAATTCCCGGCCGCTCCCAGAGCACCGGGTTTACAGGCCCCTGTGCTGGACGCCCGGGGACGTCACCGGCGGCTCCGCTCACTTGAATGGTTTGCACTTCGCTCGTCGTGTGAGCATAAGTGAAGCCGCCGGTGACAGTGCTGCGGTCTCCGAGTCTGGGCCTGGGGGGCAGGCGGGGCCATACCCGGAGCTGCCTTTGGGGCCCTGAGCCCACACAGCTCTTGCCCTCTGACCCCCTTCTCCCATTTAAGGTGAAGGAAAAGAGGGGCTGGACCCTGAACAGCGCTGGCTACCTTCTTGGCCCACGTAAGTGACACGCGCCGTCTCTGGGGACACTGAACGAGCTCCGCGGGCTGGCGTAGCAGCGGTCACTCGGACACGTGGTTGGCCCAGTGTCACTGAGATAAAGGGATGGCGTTTCCTGAGACAGGACGGGTGTCCGTGTAGGTTAAAGACATTTGACGCCTCTCTAGGTGGCCCGTCCCCCACTCTGTATTCCACTGTACTCAGCTCCCTCCCTCCTGCAGAGGGACTGTCCCCACCCCTGACCCGTCCCCAGCCTTGAGGCACCGCTGGGGGTTGAACCCTGACCTGTCCTGCAGCCCTGAGCACGTCTCCACCGACTTCCCCCTTTGCCCCGTTCCTCAGGGCTGCCCCACCCCCTCCCCCGGGAGCTGTTTTACTTCTTAATCCCGGAGTTTAAATACACACTTTCTCCTACTCAGATGGTTGTTTCGTCCATCTCCTGGAGTGCCCGAGTGCCCGGGCACAGAGGGCAAATCCAGATGGGCCACAGGCAGGATCCAGGGGGGGTGTTCGGTCTCAGGTCCCACGTGGACTTGGCACTGGTTCAAGGGGCGCGCGTTTTCCCGGATCCTTCGCAACCCCGCGTACTCCCCCCTGGGAAGCACCTCCGGGTGCTACTTGCCCCAAAGGCAGGAGGAACCCTTCAACAAGAAGGTGTTTCTGTCACTTTGGGTTGAAAGCCCCGGAGACGGCACCCTGAGTTAGGAAACATTCTCGTCCACGTCAAGTTCCCCTGTCGCTTTGCCCTCACTCCGCCCACAGTGACAGGCCGACACCCCGTGTCGGAAGGGTCAGCTGCTCATCGCTCCTCTACCTCTAGTGCCAGGAACACTGCGTCTGCAAAAATGAGGTCGTTCCCTTCGTCGGGCCTGGCAGATGGCACAACCCACCAGGCCCAGCAGCCAGAACCCCCCCACTACCTCGCTTCTCCTCCATCTCCTGTGCCCCAAACCGAGCCCCTTCCCTTCAGGCCAGCCACTTGGTTTAGAACCTCATTCTTTTTTCCAATAACTTCTTAAGGGATCTTTCAGGATTCACACCACCCAACAGGCACACACAGACGCAGTCCCCCGCCCCCCTGCCACGTGAGTCTGTCTCTCCCCCTCCTCCAGCCCACCTCCCACACAGCTGCCAGAGTGGTCTTTGAAGAATAAAAATCTGATTATATCGAACTTAAGATTCTCTGGTGCCCCCCCTTGTTTTCAGCCCCTGTCACTGCTGGGGTCCTCCTCGTGCTCCCCGCTGCACCAGGCCTGTGCGCCCCGGGCCCTGGTCCTGCGGCGCCCCAGCACCTGGTAACGCAGGGGCCTCGGGCCCCAGTACACATTGTGGACAGTGTCCTCCCCTCTTCTACGGTTCCCACGGGGCTGCGAGCACTTTGGTCACCAGCCGTGTGGTCCTCGGGGTGTGGGCGGAGACGGGTGCAGTGATGACACTCACGCTGTCCTCTCGGGTCTGCAGATGCCGTTGACAACCACAGGTCCCTCCAGGACAAGCACGGCCTCGCTGGCAAGCGGGGACTCCAGCCCGAAGACGACGCGAGGGCAGGTGAGGGGCTTCCACCCCGGGGCTCCGAGTTGCTCCCCTGTCTGTCACCTCCTGGGTGCACAGGGCGGTGGCCTGAGCCCGGCCCGGCCACATCTGTCCACTGCTAGAGACAGAAGCAGCAAGACCCGAGAGTAAGACGTGGGGCAGCGCAGGGATGGCAGAGAGCCCTCCGAGGCTCGGGGCTCCAGGAGAGGTCCTGGGTCACCAGGGTGCCTTCATGCTGGGGGGAGGGGTCACTGACCTCAGGGTGCCTGTGGGAGGTTGCAGACGGCAACCTTTTCTGGTTTCTAGGGGGCTCAGACAGGCCTTTGCCCGAGAACGTTGCACGCAGGGTGATGGAGTTGCTGACTTCCTTGCATCTCAAAGGTATGTGGAATGTGCCCGATTGACACCCCCACCTCTTAGACCCCTGGGCACCTGGCCGCTGGCCGGGAGGGGATTGCCAGACTTCTGCTGCACGTGGGCGCCCCACAATGTCACCAATGCCGGGCCAGCGGCCAGCTGGGGTTGCTGCCCGCCCCCCACGGTCCCTGGGAAGGGTCATCAGACTGACTGCTTCCAGGGAGACAGACCATCCCTGCACGGCCTCAGTACACCCCAGGCCAGGTTCCGCAGGCCGTCTGAACCCTTATCTCATAAGCCATCAGGAGGAGCCGCGTTTCAGTTCAGGTCTTTCCTTCCGCACTTGGGGCAGGCTCCCCTCGGGCTCGGCCCTGGCGCTCTGCTGCCTGTCCTTCGTCCACAGGTCCACAGCGCCAGCCTGGCCCCTCGGGCATCTCCCCGGTCCACGGCCTGTGGGAGGCACACGCTCAGCGTGAACCATGGCGTGGGGGCGGGTCACGGGGAGACCGACACTGTGATGCCCCGGGAGACTTTGGCTGTCACGATTCTGTGTGAATTTGACAGCTGATTCCGCTTCTGTCTTGACCTGTTTGCTCTCGGGCTGCACAGCCTTGGTTGAGGGACTTCAGGTGGGGGTGGGAGGGGGACGGGGCAGGTGGGGACACGTAAGGCCTGCTGCCTTTCCTCAGAAGAGGGAGCGTGGGGACAAGGACTTCGACATCTCAGAACCAAGTCACCGAGGCCCGTGTGAGCCCAGGGGCGCCTCCGGGCGGTCTCTGCCCAGGCCCCCAGCAGGACCCGTCAACCCTTCCCGAGTTTTTCTGTTTTTTTACTTTCTGTTTTGAATTTTGTGACATGGACTTCTTCCATTAGGAGATACCAATCTCTACTACTCGACCAAGATTTATACTTCCTTAAAGCATGGATTTAAAGTCTGACAGTTTCAGATGCATGCTGAGCAGGGGACTTGTCAGCAGGGGTGAGGAAGGCTGTGTGGCGGGGATCTGCGCCGCGGCCACCCTGCGTCTGGGCGGTGAGCTGTGACTGTCCTCCGGGCGGTGGTAGGGCCCGTCACCCGAGTCCCGTCCCGTTGCAGAGGCCGGGCCCCGGGTGCCCCTGCTCCTGCCGGCCGTTCCCTGGGAAGACGCAGAGCAGTGAGTCCGGAGGGAGCCGCGTGAAGCCGTCCGGGCAGTCCCGAGGGTCCGCCGTGCCGACCTGCGCAGTCCGTCCCCCGCCCGTCCTCTGCGTTGATGCTGTGTTGTTGTAATGTACGATTTCCCCCTCTGGTAATTGTTTTGAGCCCCAAAATAAAAACCAGAAGTGCTTTCGTTGTCTTTCTTCCTGGTGCCGGTCCGGACACCACCGCCAAGGTGCTGTAAAAGACAAGCTGGCCCCGGCCGGTGTGGCCCAGCGGTTAGAGCGTCGGCCCGCAGACCGGGAGACCCGGGTGCGGTTCCCGCTAAGGGCATTTACCTCGGTTACAGTTTGTCCCTGACCCCAGCTGGTGTCATGTGGGTGGCAACCACTCGATGTGTCTCTCTCACATCACTGTTTCTCTTCCTTCCTCTCTCCCTCCCGCTCTTTCTTAATAAAAAATGGAAAAATGTCCTCAGGTGAGGATTTAAAAAAAGACAAGTCTGGAGCCCCTGCCGGTGTGGCTCGACAATTAGAGCGTCAGCTTGCAGACCGAAGAGTTGCGGGTTCGATTCCGGTCAAGGGCACGTACCTCTGTTGGGTTCGATCCCCAGTCCTGGTCAGGGTTGTGCAGGAGGCAACCAGTTGATGTGTCTCTCTCACATCAATGTTTCACTCTGCCCCCTCCCACTCTATCTGAAGATAAATGGAAAAGTATCCTGGGGTGAGGATTTGAAAAACAAAAACAAACAAAAGACAAAGCTGGAGCCCTGGCCAGGTGGCTCAGCTGGTTGGAGCATCGTCTGTACACCAGGTTGCAAGTTCAGTCCCCGGTCAGATGCATACGGGAGGCAACTGATCAATGTCTCTCTCTCTCTCTCTAAAAAAAATAAAATAAAATAAAAACCACATCCTCAGGTGAGGATTAGAAAGAAAAAGGAAAGAAAGCTGGAGTGGGGTCACATTAAATTGAGTCAAACACACTTACGAAGGCAAGTCTGTTACTGAGACAAAAACATAAGACAGATTGGACCCTGCCCTTGGGGGCTGGTCCTTGGAGGGGGGGGGGCGGACACAACGTCATAGCAACCGAAGCATGACAGGTGGGTGTCGTGTGACACGTGATAAGCAGGAAAGAAAGAGCCAGCAGGGTCCGGCTGGGAGTGAGAGGGGGAACCACAGGTGCGGTATTAAAATTCGTGTGGTCCAGGCAGAAAGGTGAATGTCCTGAAAACCCTAACTGCTTTATAGACGCGGAGATGTGTGCCCTGTCCGGCTGCGGGAAAGCCAGGGTGTGGGAACAGCTCCATAAACCGGCAGGGACAGGTGTGTCCCCTGAGCGGGAAGACGGGCGCCCCGGAGACCGGGGAGAACATGGGCAGCGATGGAGGCCGCCTGTCGGGCCATGAGACAGGTCTGTGGGGGTGGGGCGGTGTTCCCGCGCCTTTGCCCTGCGTGGTTCTCGCCCTGGCTGCACAGGGTGTCCTCAGGGCGCCAGGGGGCCCACAGACCGCAGCATTCAGAGTCTGGGACTGTGTCTTTAACAGTCCCCCAGGGATGGCACCTGAAGAACTGCTCCAGGAGGACATGGACACAGAGGGGACCTGAGCCCTCGTCACTCTCTCCTGCTCCTGCTCCCTGACCCCCCGAGGAGGCGCTGGGCCGCCCTTCCAGCCTCTTCCCTGTGGTTCTGAGACTCGCTGGGCTGTTCCCCGTCTGCAGGGACCGCGCTCAGACCCAGTGTGCGGTCCAGCTCCGCGTGCCTCTAGACAGTGGGCCACCCTTTACTCCCTGCCCTCCCTTCCTTCCCATTTCATTAATTCTCTTGGACTTGGGGGGCACCAGGCCATTCCCCAGAGCGCGATTCCGGAGGGCTTTGGGCAGAATCTGCACTCCTGGTGAGCACCCGGGAGGCCTGCTGGCTGGGGCCACGCCCCGTCTACTTGCTGATGCCCGCAGCCTTCCTGCCCAGTCTCTGAGAGCTGCGTGCCCGTCTCCCCAGCGGCCTGGGCACCCTGGCCCAGCCCCGGCCCACCCTGCGTGCCAGACCACAAGAAGCCAGGTCCTAGACGCGGAGAAAACATTTGCACGAGACACGTCTGATCAAGGACTGTTTTCCAAAACATACAAAGGAATCTTACAACCCAACAATAAGAAAACCAACAACCCCATTAGGCCTGGACAGGCCGCCGCCGAAGAACAGACGGAGGGGACAGCACAGGAAGAGCTGGCATCGCACGTCACCGGGGTCATCGGGGCCTGCGGCAGAAGCAGGGTGAGGCAGGGCGGCCCACCCGGAGCGCCCACCCAGCGCAGCCCCCCCACTGTGCTGAGGCCTGTGGGAGCAGCGTGGTGGGAGCAGCGTGGGCCAGAGCAGGGGCCGCTTCTGCTTCAGCGTCTCTTACCCAAACTGCCGTTCTCGTACCTTCTCAACTTCTCCATCATTTTATCTTGGTCCCTAAACAGTGTTTTAGCTTACTTCATACAATAATTTGTGGCTTGAAGCTGCACCCCGCCCCCCAAACTAGGCCTGTCCTGGTGGAATTTGGGGTATCGGAGGGTTTTGTAAAGTGACACAGAGCCGCAGGGCCAAGACCAGGGTTACAAGTTGGTGTCTGCGGATGTTTCACCGTCAGCAGAGGGTCTCTCTGGGGCGTTGGTTTGTCCCCATGTTTCCCGGATCCTGCACCCGCTTCTGGTGAACTGACAGGAAGGAAAATGTTCAGCATGTGACATAAACGGACATTTGGTCTCTACCCCCAGCTCCTGACAGTGAGCTCCTGACTCCCTTGGAGTTTCCTAGGTGACAGGAGGTGCCTTTGTTCAAATGAAGTGACTCTGGGTGGGCTGCTGGGTGGCTTCAGGCTGGCGACTGGCCACCAGGAAAACCAAGGCCCTGATGAGAAGCTTGGACCTTCAGCCCCACCCCCGGCGTCCGGGGAGGAGAGGGGCTGGGGTGGTCACTGATCACACCTCCGTGAGGAAGCCTCCGTGAAGTCCGGCGTCCACGTGCCGGGAGGTTGGTGACCACGTCCACGTGCCGGGAGGTTGGTGACCACATCCACATGCCGGGAGGTTGGTGACCACGTCCACATGCCGGGAGGTTGGTGACCACGTCCACATGCCGGGAGGTTGGTGGCCACATTCCAACTCCTCGCCCTGTGCCTCTTCCTCGGCCGCCTGTCTGTATCCTTTACGACAAACCAGTGACAGCGAGTAAGGTCTCCCCCCGAGTCGTGTGAGCTGTCACTGCACGTGTCTGACCCGAGGACAGGGCATGGCAGCTTCAGATTGGAGCCAAGTCAGACAGTGTGGGAACCCGGACCCGCGCCCCGTGGCCGGTGCCTCGTGGCCCCGGGCTCCAGGCACTCTGACGCTAACCCGGGTTGTGTCCGAAGCGATCCCATTCCAAGACACCAGCTGGTGGCCGGAGAGTCGGGGCGCCGGTGGTGGGAAATGCCCACATTCGGTGTCAGAAGTGTGAGTAGAGAAACAGTCCTCTGTTAGCATGTCGACTTTTTACAACCTCTTCGCAGATTCTTGAAAAGACAGATTTAAGCTAAGCCACCTGTCTGGGAAAATAAACCCAAAACTGAGACGCCCGACGGGCAGCCCAACCTCAGTCACAAAGGGGGCCCAGGCCAGTGAGTACATACGGTCAAGGGGGTGCAATAAGGACAAGCTCTTTCTCTCATATTTAAACCATCTTTACTTACAGAATGCCACTCTGAGAAGGTAACTCCATTAAGCTCCGATCACTTCAGGAACAGTTGCGACTTACACTGAAAAGGACTGAAGTCAACATTGCTTTGGAAGAGGGACCGAAATATCGTCCGGTTTCCTGTGCTCCTGGATGTTCCCTAGGAGTGGGCCACTGGGGGCGGGCCACCCCCTGGGCGCATCTACCTGCCTCTGGATTCTCCCGGGTTCTCGGAAGGCCCGGGGCTCCTGAGCCCCCCTCCTGGCAGCACGGGGTCTGAGCAGACCCCCAGAGTCTCAGCTGAAGGCGGGCCCAGTGGGCGGGTCGCGCCGGGATGCTCTCTCTGCTCAGCGCCGCGTTCACGATAGCGTCTTCTTCCAAAGTTCACCCTTAAGCTCTGCTTCAGTTCACTTTCGGCCGGGGGAAGAATTTTCTTCCGTCACCTCATCAAGGTGTCTTTCAGCAGTCAAGCTGCCGACCAGCTGTCTGTGCTTTCTCGCGGGAGAGGATCCCCCCTGGAGGAGAACGAGCGGCTCTCTTCGCTTCTCCCCATCCCGGGCGCCTTCCTGGAGGTCTGGCTCTCCCCGCGTGGCTGATCTCCGCGGCGCCACCAAGCTCCCCTCCTCCAGCCAGCGGTTTCCTGGCTGCGAAGTCCGGAGCAGCTCGCATTCTCCCCGCCGCTCAGTCCACTTCTGATGCTCGTTTCCAAGGCGTTCATGTTCTGACGGCCGGGAGGCTTGCTCAGCCTGGAGAGGTTTAACGCACTCTGAGCTCTTCCTTTGCTTTCTCTGCTTCAGTTACTTGAGTGTATATTTGGTTTCTTTGTCCTCTGGGGTTTTTTAAAGAAGCTTTTAACTTGGCAGCTCAATCCACTCGCCAAGCTCCTGTGTCTGAGGCGGTCCGTGCTCTGGTACACTCTCCAGCTCCGGGTCCGAGTTGCCCTCCGGCACAGCAGCCAACCTGGCGTCCTCGGCAAGCGCCCAGCAGACTCCGTGTGACTTTCTGTAGCACGTAGAACTAGTTCCGGGCACGCTTTGGAGTCTCCAGGTGTGGTGTTCTGTTTGTCGAGGTCACGCACTTGCTCTTCCCGTTCAGCTCCGTGGAGCGGCCGTCTCTGGTGTCCTGGAGTGGGACCCCCGGGCACCTGTCACAGTTACCCTGGCTCGGTCTTCATTCATCGGAAACATTTTGAAGGTTGTTTTGGCTTCAGCTACTTGTGATTTGAGTGATTCTGATCCATCCTTTTTGAAATATCCGCCATCGATCCATCTTGTTCAGAATGTTTAGATTTCTCTTCCTCCAGCTCATTTTGCAGGAAGAGTGTGTCATCCTCACATTCGGACTGGGGACCGCGGTTCTCACAGCCGGCCTCCACGCGGAGCTGCGGCCAAGGCCCGCTACGAGCTCTCTCTCTTTAACGGCTAATTCCTCTGTACGAGGCTAATTGCTCAAGTAGTTTACCTTCAATTAGTGTGGAAGTTCACAGCAAGCGTTCTCTCTCCTTCCACACAAAGCCGGCTTCTAATCGATCAAAAGTTTCTGCACAAAAATAAGAAAACAGCAAAAAAAACCAACCGTAGCTGCACATACCGGCCGTTGCCACGGAGCCACGGGGACTGGGATCTCTCCTGGCGTCTTGGAGCCTGGCTTTCCCAGGACCAGCCCCTGTGCGGCCGAGAGCAGTCCTGGGCCCCTCCACGCGCCGAGGCTGCCTGGACACAGCGCCGCCGCTGGGCTGGCTGTGCCGGGTCAGCGGCAGAGAACGCGCGCGGTCCGTCCAGAACCCAAACCCGCACCCACAGCCGGCCCAGACCACTGTGGAGCCACGGGGCTGCGAGAGGGACTGGCGCCCACAGGCCTCAGGGCCCACACCGCCCGCTGGGAGCCAGCCCCAGTTGGCTTTGTGTCTGATGACCCGAAGGCCCACGCGCCCCCACACCCCGCCAAGAGCCATGACTTGCCCTCTCCTTGCCACCCACCCCTCGGCTTTTATTATTATATGGTTTTGAAATGGCATCGGCTCTACCAGAAACAAACAGATGCGGTTTCCTCCCTTTTCAGGAGTCCGATGTAGCAGTTACCGCCGGGCCGCGTCACGTGACCTCACACACAGCTCCGCTCGGCTTGTACTTCTCACGCTGGCTTTGCCGAAGGCTGCGCCGACTTGCCAAGTCCTCGCCCTGGAGCCACCGCACGGGGTCAGGCCTCCAGCTGCCCCGGCCCGGCCTTGGCCTTCGGTTGCTGGCTCAGCTCACCTGCTGCAGCTCGGAGGCCCCGCCCCTCGCGGCCTTCAGGCGCTGGCTCGGCTCACCTGCTGCAGTTCGGAGGCCCCGCCCCTCGCGGCCTTCAGGCGCTGACTCAGCTCACCTGCGGCAGCTCGGAGGCCCCGCCCCTCGCGGCCTTCAGGCGCTGGCTCGGCGCACCTGCTGCAGCTCGGAGGCCCCGCCCCTCGCGGCCTTCAGGCGCTGGCTCAGCTCACCTGCTGCAGCTCGGAGGCCCCGCCCCTCGCGGCCTTCAGGCGCTGGCTCAGCTCACCTGCTGCAGCTCGGAGGCCCCGCCCCTCGCGCCCAGCTGCAGTGCTGGGTCCCTCTGCCCTGGGCTTTGCAGGGGGTCCACCTGGCCGCAGGCCTCTCTAGGCTGCGTCACCCAGGCCCCTACTGTGTGGTGCGGGCTGAGTGCCAAGTGCACGCTGTATGTTAAGGCTCAGTGCCTACGAAGAATGTGAAATGGCGCCATCATTTCTATTTGGGTTATATATTAGAATAATAGTATTATTTATGTTGGAGTAATAGTATTGTGGGGTTAAGTAAAAGATTATTAAATGTAATTTCACCTGTTCCTTTTTACTTTTTAAAATGTGTCAACTGGAAATTTTAAAACTGCCTGAGCGGCGCTGCTGAGAAGAAAGGCCGCCCCAGGAAGGAGTCACAGCGCCCTCTCTGTCCCCTTCCAGCCCCGGGGTAGGCGACCCTCAGCAGCAGCCTGTGCCGCTCTGTCCCTGCTCGTGGGAACCCAGGCTTACAGGTCTGCCTCTGCCTCTGGCTTTGCCTCAGAGTCTGGATCTGCGGGAGACAAGGGGCCAGAAGCAGGGAGTTCGCGTCAGCTCTGCCCGCGCCGCTCGCGCTGCGCCGGATGAGTTCGCAGACATCGCCTGAGGCCAGGACTGTGAGCACCTGGAAACACCAGCAGCTACGCAGCTACTCGCAGCCATGGAAGACGGTTGACATTTTTATTCTTTGCTTTTTACAATAGAACCAGAAGAGTCACCCTAACAGCCAATCTGATCTGCTGGTTTCTGCAACCAGTTATTTTAACCAAACTCTGCCAACAACAACGACAGTATAACAGTCACTGTGGGGAAGTCAAGTGGAAAACAGAGCTTTCCCACAATCCAAACAGAAACACTTAAGAAACTAGGTAATTTTCAGTCCCACTAACTACAGATAGAGCGGGGCCGCTGGGGAATGTCTGCACGGACCCTTCGGGGCTCAGCAGCTCTCTAGAGATTTTAAATTGCAGCTCAGAAGCCCATCTGGAGACTTTATTTCTAAATAATTTTTGGGCAAAATCATTACTGCTTTTTATGCAGAGAAGCCTCCGGAGGGAAATCCCCCAAGGGGGTGCGATCAATGGGCCTGGACTCCCACCTTCCCTCCAGAACCTGCTCCGACCCTCCGGCGCTGGGTGTGGGGGCTTCCGGTCCCACAGCAACGCCCACAGCATCCTCAGAAGGGGCTCTGGATGGCCACAGGCTCCCAGACGAAGTCGCCCGGCCCAGACGTCCCTGGGAGCCCCGGCCACGCCCACAGGCCCTCGGCGGCCCTGTCGGCTCTACTCCATCTTCAGCCCTTTGGACTTGAACTCGATGTGCAGAATCTGGGACAGGCACCTCCCGAACTCCTCCAGGATCATCTGCTGGGCCAGGTGCTCGGAGCAGTGTCCCTGCTCGGCCTCCTCGCCCTGAGCCAGCAGGCAGGCGCAGGTGGCCTCCACCACCTCCCAGGAGATGCAGGAGGACCACCTGCGGAGACACAGCGAAGGCCACAGTCAGGGCCCCTGCTTGACATGCGCTATGTTCGAGGCACATGCTCGTCGTGGTGGTTTAAAGATTGTCACAGCAAAATTGCATGCTGTCTTCCAAATACCAAACTTATTCACTGGGATCATGTCAAAGATTGCTTTTAGAAGAGAAGTATAGAGGAAGGTCACCTGTGAGCTTCTTGACATACCTCTCATGGTAGATTCTAAATTTTCTCAAAATTAGACCCACTCACAAACGCAGAGGCCTGGGCTCCGGTCAATCCTGTGGGCTGGGCAGGGAGGAGCAGCAGGAATCTCAGCGACCACAAGTCCCAGCAGCAAGCAGCCTGGGCCCGAGCTCCGTGCAAGGCGTGCACGGCCATCGCGTGCTGGCCTCCCCACACAGGGCACGGGAGCTGGAGAACCCGATGACTCTGAGGACCCCTTGCCTGTCACTCCTGGGGCGCTCAAACGCTCCGTGGAGCCCCGAACAAGGCTGCGAGACAGCTGTGTGTGACCCGCAGGACCAGCCCATCCCCCGAGTTTATGTCGTGCTCACAGGGGAACTTTCAGGATGTGCATGAGTGAACTCCCTCCAATCAGCCCCGCGCGCCCGAGCGGGAGGGTTAGTGAGGGGGCCCACCTGTCTCTCCTGAACTTCGGTAGTCCTGACGGAGGGCAGCTGCCTTCGAAGCCTCCGATTTCCAAGTAGTTGGGCCTGGCCATTAGCGTTTTTCGTTCTGGGCTTTCTTCATAATTTTTGCAATCAATGCATTTGCAGATAGAAGAACACATAATTTTGGCCTGGTAACATAAAATGCTTCAATAAAATTAGGTTGCTTTACAATTCATCAAAAAGAACCTATTTGGACCTTAAATAACTTTATATTTGTGTGAGCGTATAATCTGCAATTTCATGCCAAAATAAAAGCAGGAGTGAAGAGGAGCCGATGGCCCTCATGTGAGGAGATTGTTTTGTTGTTTTTTTATCCTCACCCGAGGACATTTTTTGTTCAGATAGAGTGGGAGGGAGAGAGAGGAAGAGAAAGAGAAAAACATCGCCGTGAAAGGGACACATCGAGTGGCTGCCACCCGCATGACCGACCAGGGCCGGGGACAAACTGCAATCGAGGTACATGCCCTTAGCAGAAACCGAACTCGGGTCTCTCAGGACTGCAGGCCGACGCTCTAACCTCTGAGCCAAACCAGCCAGGGCCACGTGAGGAGATTGAAGTGCAGGTTTCAGGTGTCTCACTGTTGGGGGGACACAGTGGTGCGCTGACAAGGGACGTGGGAAGGGGGCTTTCAAAGTCTGGTGAGTGTGGGTGGGAGTCCCTGGGGGTGCCCTCCTCTGACCTGGTTTCAGATGGAGCTGTGTCAGCCGGTTACGGTTTTGGCTCGGGCTTACCCTGCCCGCGGCTCAGTGTGCCGCGTGCCCCGCTTGGCAGAGGGTGGGCGTCGGTAAAGCTGCACCCACCAGGCCGGCCTGCGCTGGGCATTCTGGGGCAGGCCCTCCTGCTTCCTGGAGGGTGGGCTTCACTTCTTGTTACGTGGCAGAGTGACACCCAGGGGGAAGGGTGGGGGTCCCAGCTGTGCTTGGCAAGCCTGGGTCGGAGCCCTTGCTCATGCCAGCCCTGGGGTGGTCTCAAGCTGGCCCTGGGGAACACGGGGTTTCCAGCTTCCTGTGCTCCAGCCCCTGGGATTTCCCGCCTTTCTGGCTCAGCCGTGCACCTTGAGGGGTGCCTGTGCGTCTTGTTCTGCTCCTCTAGGTGCTCTGAGCAGGCTTCTTTGGGGTTTCTAGTTACCCCCACTCCAGGGACTACAGGTCACCTACCCATCCGGTGGCGCAGTGACGAGCAGAGAGGGACACCACGGCGCCGGGTGGGGGGCACTTACTCTCAGGATCCAAGCTGAGGGACAGCTGGGTCTGCTTGTCAGACCTTTCAGCGTCTATCTCCAGAATCATGAGGATTTCTTACACCTGACCTTCTACGACAAGCCTTTATCTTTTTTTTTCATCCTCACCAGAGGAAATTTTTGCATTTATCTTCAGATAGAGTGGGAGGGAGAGAGGGGAAAGAGAGAGAGAGAAACATTGATGTGAAAGAGACACATCGACTGGCTGCCACCCACACAACCCCAACCAGGGCCGGGGGTGAACTGCAACCGAGGTACGTGCCCTGAGCGGGAACCGAACCCGGGCCTCTCTGGTCTGCGGGCCAACGCTCTAACCGCTGAGCCAAACTGGCCAGGGCCTAGGACAACCTTTCAAAATGAGAATCTGAACCACCAGACCGGCCTGTGCCAGGCAGCTCGGTTGGTGGAGCAGCGTCTCAGGCACCGGAAGTTGCTGGTTTGATGCCCATCAGGGCACACACCTGGGTTGCGGGCTCCATGCCCGGTTGGGGGCGTGCAGGAGACGGCCAATCGATGTCTCTCTCTCTCTCCCTCTGTCTTCCTCTCTCTCTCTCTAAAAAATAAAAAAAACATATTAAAAAGAAATGAGCCCTGGGCGGTTTGGCTCAGCGGTTAGAGCGTCAGCCTGTGGTCCGGAGAGACCCGGGTTCGGTTCCCGCTAAGGGCACGTACCTCGGTTGCAGTTTGTCCCCGGCTCTGGTCAGTCGTGCGGGTGGCAGCCACTCGATGTGTCCCTTTCACATCAATGTTTCTCTCTCTCTCTCTCTCTGTTCCTCTCTCTCCCTCCCACTCTATCTAAACAAAAAATGGAAAAATGTCCTCGGGTGAGGATAAAAAAAAAAAAAAAAGGCCCTGGCCAGTTTGGCTCAGCGGTTAGAGCGTCGGCCTGTGGTCCGGAGAGGCCTGTGGTCCGGAGAGACCCGGGTTCGGTTCCCGCTAAGGGCATGTACCTCGGTTGCAGTTTGTCCCCGGCCCTGGTTGGTCATGCGGGTGGCAGCCACTCGATGTGTCCCTTTCACGTCGATGTTTCTCACTCTCTCTCTCTTCCTCTCTCTCCCTCCCATTCTATCTGTACAAAAAATGGAAAAATATCCTCGGGTGAGGATAAAAACAAACAAAAAAAGAAAGAAAGAAAGAAATGAAACTCGCAGGTGCCCTCAAAGGCCTCCAGCAAACCAGGGGGCCTTGTAAGGCAGGGCTCCTGCCGCCGGGTCTGAGGCTCCCTCTCTGCCTCCCCCTCTGCTCCCTCACCACGAAGAGAAGGGAGGGAAACGGGAGGAAGAAGCTGAAGGAGAGCACAAGGCCCCCTCCTGCCGTTGAATCAGTGACAAAAGAAAGCGTTTGTCCAGGAGCCGGTCTGCACCCCGGAATGCACTGCCAGTGCTGGCCCCCGAGGGCTGGGCCGGGAGGGGCTGCCCGCCCACTCCAGGCACCCGCAAGTGGCTGCCCGGGGACATGTCCCCTGTGCTCTGCCCGGGGAGGAAGAGGCTGGGCCCACCTCTGGGGCCACCACACTGCTGGCCACGGAGCATGGCTCCCAGCGTTGGAGCTGTAGGGTGGGCCCTCTGGGGACACGGTGGGCTCGGGGAATGGGCCATGCTCCCAAAGGAAGCCTGGGTTATCTTCCTTGACTCGTAAAGCGTGTAATTCTATTTAAGAGATGAACACAGGTCAGTGAGCCCCCTTCAGAGACCCTGGAAGGAAGAGCACGGCCAGCCGGGCCCCGCCGTCAGCTGTGCTGACCGGCGGCAGGTGTGACCGACCTCATAGCACTCGCAGTAGTTCTTCAGGCAGCCCGACCTCCTGCAGTGACACCCTTTGCTGCGTCGCGGCTTCACGTCCCCCACGCTCCCCGTCCCGAGTTTTGGGTGGAGAGCTTCTGGATTTCTGTCAAGACAAGCCTAGGACAGAAAACGCAGAACGCCCATCACGCTCTAGTTTGTTTTATTTATTTACTGTTTGGTTAAACATAACCCAATCCTCATCCAGAAGTGTTTGATTTTCATTGATTTTTTTTTAGAGAGAGTGGAAGGGGTGGGCAGGAGAGAGAAACATCGCTGTGTCCCCATCGATTGGCTCCCTCGTGACTCCTGCTCACTGACGCCCCACAATGGGGACCCCTATTCTGCCTTTGCTTTAGTTTTGTCTGAACTCTCTTCTGTCTGGCTCTGCCATCAGCGCAGTCCCTTGTGCTGCTGCACATAGCTCTGGCTCTTCCCTTTTCACTGATGTCTAATATTCTACTGTATGCTTCCCCTGAATAGACGTATGAATTCCCCCCTGGACGGACACTCAGGCTGTCCCCAGTTTGGGGTATTACGAACAAAGCTATTGTGAACATTTTCATTCACAGGCATGGGCACTGGCTGTATTTGTGGGAATAAAACTGGTGGGTCATAGTCCATACAAAGGGTTAGCTCTAGTAGCTGGTGCCAGACAATTTCCCAGCTCGGTGGCACCCATCACCACTCCCCCGGCGACGCCCGGGATCCCACCGCTCTGCAAATGGAGTGTTTACACTTCGAACTGCAGACGGTGCCCTAAAGAAAACGCTGCCGTCCTGCAGTCAGACGCACCGCCGTCTTCTCCCGTCCTGTGCGTCTGGCTGATCAGATATTTATCTGAAATTCAAGAGGGGAACTAAATTACTGTAGAAACAAATAAACAGATCAACCGTGGCACAGGATGACAGGCTCCCGTTCGTGGGTGATGGCTCCCCTGGTAAAATAGAGGGTGCCAACACGTGTGTGGAGCAGGCTGCCCCAGCCTCACTGTCCTCCCTGCTCCGGTGGCCTTTGTGCCTACAGAAAGGGACGGTGCTGAGCTCCTACACTTAGCCTTTAGCCAGCGGCCTGCGGGGCCGGGGGCCCTTGAAGAAAGCTCAGATTCTCCCGTCACCCTGAAGCACGGATCACCTGCGCGATGGCTGGGCGGCCCCGCCCCGCTGACCTGCACAGTGGCCTGCCCACTTCTCTGCTGTCACACTGCTCCAGCCGGGCCTCTCTGCCAGGCATGACCCAGTTCCTCAATCCAGACCAACACGGGCATTTGCATGTTCCTATAACAGGACCTTCGGAGACTGCTTGGAGTCCCATGCTGGGGAGGTGGCCCCATCCACGGGGACGGTCACAGTCGGCGTACTTCTTCAACACCTCAGCCTTCCCCAGTATTCTAACGCGGAATCTCTGCAGATGGTTTTCACAAACATCTCAAATCCTTCTTAACACTTTTAAAACACATGTGTCTAATGGAAAAGTTACTCACCTTAATGGCCTTAAAGCGTTCCAGTCCGTGCCGTAAACTGTTGCAGCAGGTGTTACAGTTGCAGTTGTTGCAGAAATCCCCACTGGCAAAGCAGTCACAGTGCCTGTGAATACAGCCACGTGGCGTCACAGTCAGCACGGAGTGAGTGTGACGCCGAGCAGGCCAGCAGGTGCGTCCACACAGCTCCTACCGAGAGACAGGACGCTGTCCTGCGTGACTCACCCGGGAAGGAGACACTACCTCACACCGTTTGTTTGCAAAGCAAAGCAGTTTCCCTGAAGTGTCCGCTGACGCCCACTGTCCCCTGCCCCCAAGCCCGCTGCCCTTGTCCCAGAACACAGCAGGGTGGGGTGGAAACGTCACAGAATAAAGAGCCATCTTCCCATCAACTGTCCCGGCCCTGGTGGGGAGTGCAGACTGATGGGACCTGGCGGTGGCACCGGGTCTCAGCTCTGTCTTTCTGTTTCTCCCCGTCCGTGTGCAGGGAGAGGCGAGTGGGACACCCCTGTGACCCGGCTGTGTCACTCGGCTACAGCGCAGGTGCTTCTTGAACTCGGCTTGCCCCATGCTCTGCTCTGCTGGTGGCATCTGCCCACAGTCCCCCAGCAGAGCAGCGGGACCTTGCGCGATGGGTCTTCCTGGAGAGTCATCAGTGTTCTGCAGTAACTACGCCGCGTGCTGAGTGACAGGCGCCGGCAGGCTGTGCTTCACATTTTTTTCAGAGTGAGCAGGGACACGGCACTTTCCTCAGCTCGTGAAGACTCAGTGTTGGGGCCAGGACTCCTGCTGCCCACGGACAGCCCACCCCGACGGAGGCCTCTGCCATGGGAGAAGACCCGGGGGCTCCAGGGGAAGCGCCTGCACCCCAGGGCTGGACGTGGGCTCTGCCGCCGGCTCCCCTGTTCGCTGTCAGCTGTGCCATGCAGCTCTTGCACCCCGCCTCCCAGGCGGCCGGAGCCCTGGGGTCCCGTGGGGCGCTTCCTACGGGTAGGTGGGCTGCACAAATGCAGGGACGGCCTCTGGGTCTGGCAGTAAGGTAAACCAGATGTCTGTAGAAACCTTCCTGTGACAGGATTCCCAAGCATGATTTTTAAAATATTATTTTTATATATATATATGTATGTACACACACACACACACGCATATATGTTGTTGTTAATCCTCATCTGAGGATATTTTTCCATTGATTTAAATTTATTTATTTATTTATTCATTCCTCACCCGAGGATATTTTTCCACTTATCATCAGATAGAGCGGGAGGAGAGAGACAGAGAGAAACATCGACGTGAGAGACACATCGACTGGCTGCCTCCCGCACGACTGACCAGGGCCAGGGACGAACTGCAACTGAGGCACGTGCCCTTGACTGGAATCGAACCTGCGACTCTCTGGTCCGCGGGCCGATGCTCTAACCTCTGAGCCAAACCGGCCAGGGCTCCATTGATTTTCAGAGAGAGTGGGAGGGAGGGAGCGGGGAGAGAAAGGAACATTGATGGAGACACAGCGACTGGTCACCTCGGGCTCGAACGGGCTGCTCACGCAGGAGACGGACGGAGCCTGGGCTCCAAGAGGTGGGAGCTGGACCAGAGAGCCCCATAAGCTGGATCCTTGAAGGGCGACCTCCCCACAGACCTACTGCACAGGAGGAGTGGGCCCGGCCCTCTGGGGCCGCAGTCCGCAGCCAGGGAGGCGGGAGCTTCCTGTGCGGAGCGTGGGAGGCGAGAGGACGGCGCCCGGTGTGGGGGGCCGAGGAGAGGGCCCCAGCCACACTGCGGGCGACGTAACTCTGCCCTCCGTCTATACGTGAAAGACTTAAATCTGTGCCCCACACCTGCTGTCTTCCCACACTCCGGACCCCAAACTCGGTGCTGCTTTTCCCCTTTCTCCACCCTCCTGTGTTGGGGTCCCCTCTGTCCCACTCCTCGAAACCCACAGCCTCCTCACTGGAGCGGGGACCGTCACCGCCTCTTCGCTCCCAGCACTGTGACACTTTTATGCCCTAGAACCAGCTCCCCAACTTTCTACCGGGCACTCTTTCCCCACGTGACATGTCCGAACCTTCACTCAGTCTCTCCTTCACCCCGCCGCGTAGGCGTGCCCCGCCCCCCCCCCCCCCCGCATTCCTCTGCTGTCACCCACCCGGGAACACAACCCCGCACGCGGCTGGTGGTCACTGTCTCCCACAGCCAAGGGCTTACGAGTCCGCTGATTCTGCTCAGAAATGTTTTTTTATTTTTTTTAAATTTTCAGTTGATTATATTTTTAAAAAATGTTACAGATGTTTCTCCTTTTTCCCCCATTGACACCCTCCTCCCCCTCCCTCCCTGCCCTGTCCCCAGCTTTGTTGTCCATGTCCACTGTTCATGCACACATGCATATAAGTTCTGTGGTTTATCTCTCCCCACCACCCCCTCTTCTGGGGATTGTCAGTCTGTACCCCACTTCCACGTCTCTGGGACTACCCCATTCCTCAGACTGTTATGTTCATTATATTCCACAGATAAGTGAGATCATGTGATATTTGTCTTTCTGTTTGGCTTGTTTCACTTAGCATAATACTCTCCAGGTCCCTCCATGTCGTCTCAAAGGATAAGAGATCTTTCTTTCTTACAGCTGCATAGTACTCCATTGTGTATATGTACCACAGCTTTTTTTATCCATTCGTCTACTGAAGGACATTTGGGCTGTTTCCAGATCTTAGCTATTGTAAATAGCGCTGCTGTGAACATGGGGGTACATATATTCAGAAATGGCTTTTTAAATTTTTTATTTGCGATCCAAAAAAATAATAATAATAATTTTTGTTGTGGAAATTGAAAAATATATAAATAAGCAAAAAACAACAACAATAGAACAGTCCCTCAGAATCCCACTCCTCAGAGATGATCATTTGATGAATACACTGCACACTTTTTCTATAAAACCATATACACTGAAATAAATATATACTGTTTGATTAGATATTACATGTAAACAAAATCAAGGTCATATTCCATACACTGTCTCAGTGTGGATTTATTACTTATCAATATAATTAATATAACAGCTTGCTTTTATTACTTATCAATATAATATTATGAGTGGTTCCCATGTATATAGATTTGCACACCATTTTGATGACTACATAGGACCTCACCCTATAGTGACACCACAATTTATTTAATAACCCCCCACACTGAACATTCACATGGTTTTCTACACAAACAGCACTGCACCAGCAGCTCTGACCTCCTTTCCTGTTCTTCAACCCAGGACCTCCCTCTCCTGCCACAGGGCCTTTGCACCTGTTTTCTCAGCTGTCTTAGACCACTCTTAGCCACTCACTTTCAATCCACTCCCACCCAATTGATTTTTCCTCATCCAAACAGCCCTCCTCAGGGAAGCCTCCGCTAGCTGTCCCTGGGCCAACTCCTCCCTCCCACCCCCACACCCAGGACTGCTCCTCGGGATGAAAAATGGTGTGGCCTCTGTGGAAAACACTCAGGCACCTCCTGGAAAAGTTAAACAGAACTATCACGTGACCCCACAGTTCCACGTACAGGTACATGACCGAAAGGACGGAAGCAGGGGCTCGCACCCATGCTCATAACTGCACTATTCACGACGGCCGAGGGTAGAAACCACCGCGTCCATCCACAGTGGCCGGACACACGAAACGTGCTCCGAGCGCCCAGCGAGCGAAGCACCAACACGCCGCAGCGTGGACGCACACACACTCCAGGCGAAGGCCGCACGAGTCCACGACCTGAGGTTTCTGGAGGAGCGAGGCACACAGGGAGGGGGTCGTGGAGGGGTCATCGGCAGACCTCGGTTCTGTGTGGGAAGAGGACATTCTGAAGCAGAATGTGGGGTTGGCCGCACAGCACGAAAGGGATTAACGCCACTGAATTGCACACTTAACATGCATGGTTAAGATGGCCCTGGCTGGCTGGTCAGTTGGTTGGCGCGTCATCCCCTATATAGAAAGTCACAGGTTCAGTCCTGGGCAGGGCACACACCCACATTTTGGGTTCGATCCCTGGTCTGTGTGCTTATGGGAGGCAGACAATTGATGTTTCTCTCTCACATCAATGTTCCTCTCTCCCTCTCCCTCTTCCTTCCTTTCTCTCTAAAATCAATAAAGAAAAATATTTTTTTAAAAAGAGAAATCACACAAAATATAGTAAGTATTTAGCAGATTTAAACAACAGAATTAATAAACTTGAGCTCACGGGTAAGCAGCTGCTTCTGACAAGCAGAGAATGCACTGTTTGCTCACATGAACACGTGCCATTACAACAATGTCTAATCCTCAGAAGCAGATGATCATTAAGTTAATATACATAGCCGCAATTCATTGCGGGGCTGAGATCAAAGAAGACCGCGTACTTGGTAAGGTTTTAAGCCCCCAAAACAAAAGCCACTTCAACCATTTCCTTCAAGAACCAGTCCATTCAAAGGGAGAATGAAAAGGATGGGTCAGCAGAGGCCTCCGACGTGTCCTCCGGGCGTTTCAAAGGCTCCGCTGCTGTGTGGGCTTCAAAGGACACAGAGTCACTGTGAAGATGCTCCCAGCATCCCCTCCGTCACCTGACAAGGACAGTGCTTTCCCCCCAAAATAGGCATCTGGGAAAAAGACTAGCTTTTTATTTATTAATAATTCAACACATTTGGGTGTGATGCCCACCAGCTGCCAGCCCTTCTCTGGGGTCTGGGCGCAGCACCCGGTGAGGTCAGGCCTCCGCCTGCTCCTCAGAAACCTTCCCAGCGGCTGCGAGGCTGGCGGCGGGCGCCGTGGGGAGCGTGCCCCTGCCGGCCTCACGGGGAAGCTCACAGGGGAGTGCCGGAGGGGCCACAGCCCGCAGGACTCGGGCTCCAGCCCTGCTGTGAGCAGGCTCTGGCCTTCTGGGTGCTGGGGAAGATGCCAGAGCACCACAGAGTCAGCAGCCAGGCAGAGCCAGGTCGGCGGATGGGGTCTCCTGGTCTGGAACAGACCCCTCCTGAAGGCCAGCAGGTGCCAAGAACCTGCTGCCCACAGCTGGAGGTCCCAGGTGCTAGGGAGTCCGGAAGGGATTGGCCAACCACTGAGGCCCTGCCCCTTGCCCTCTGATCCCCCCCAAAAG